TCATCACATGTATAACTGTATAAATCTGGCATAGCGACGCACTATCTCATATAGTACTGAGCTGAGCCCATTAACGATATCCGACATATGTATAAACTGTACTCATATAGTACTAAGCTGAGCCTATTAATGACATTCGACATATGTATAAACTATATAAGTATGGCATATCGATGCACTAGCATATGTATAAACTATATAAATATGGCATATCGATGCACTATCTTATATAGTACTGAGATAAGCTCATTAACGATATCTGACATATGTTTAAATTACTCCAACTCAAGTGAAATCATTCAACACTTGTCAAATCCCCTTTGAGATACTTATGTGTAACACAACATATTCATGACTATACGTGTAACATCAAGCGGCTCATAACTCCACGAACGTATCTCAAAATGGCGCAACACAGCTCCACAAAATGAGCAGAAAAACATACAGAACTTCTGTTAGTAAAACAAGAAAATCTTTCTCTAGGAAAATTATTTTTAGAAATGGTTTTCTGTTTTGAAAACTAGATTCACCCTTATTTTAATTGGCACAAGTTTGATTTAGTTTGGTATTTATTTGTTATCCCAAATCTCAAAATAAACATTATACATATGCAGCAGTTTTTCTGCAGGATATGCGGGTGGTAAAAAGAACATATCTTTCTCTATACAAACTCTTTTTAATAATAGTTTTCTGTTTTAGAAACTACATACATATAGCTTTCATTTGAAACTAGTTTGGTTAAATTTGGAATTTACTAGCTATCTCAAAATCTCAGTTAAAATTTATATAAGTGCTGTAATTTTCTGTAGAAAATATATACTTAGTACATCTCTTAAATTTCTCATATATAAATGAAATTATGAATAACCCTAATGGTCATGATCATAATACTATCATAAACAGCAAGAAAATATTACTAATCTAGCATTCATTTAAGTTTTAACATAAAAAAATCTAATTTTTTAACATCACAAGTTAAGATTAAACATGAAAACACATATTAAATATCTAAACTAGTTATTTAACTATAAGGATGGGTTTGGATGAAGATAATCTTACTACAAATATCGTTCTAAGCCTCTAAAATAAACAGCAAGCAATCCACGAGCACAAACAACCCGTTCTCCCTTGTCACACCTCGAAGATCTCACCCTCGTGTCGGTATTGTGCTTCACAAAGCTCTCAAAATTCATAAGAAAAAGATCTAGAGTTTTTGAGGGGAAATGGTGGCTGCTAGGATTCATATGTATGATAAAAGAGAGGATTTTTTTTTTAAAAAATAGGTATTTATAGAGGCAAACCGAAACAAAGCTATTTGATCTGAACCAGGGAACCTAGTCTGACTAGGAAAATAACCTTCGGTATTTTGACCATAACTTTTATGTCTAACTTTGGAATAAGGTGATATAAGATTTTTTTAGAAATCTATTGAAGATACCTACAACTTTTGTTTTTTACGTTTTTCTAGATTCTAAATAAAATAATTCAAAAAAGGGTTTCTTGATATCGCCTGCTTCGGTACGTAAAATACATATACTTGTAACTGGTCATTTTTTCTAGATTCAGGCTAGTATTTGTGTACATAATATCACTTCTATATTCATATATATATATATACATTGAATTAATCTTAAATCAATTCCTAGCATACTCAAACATCAATAAATATAATTTTTTCATAATGTAACACATTTATTATTATTTATTACAAAATATTCAAAATTTTAGGGTTTTACAACTAACCTGTATATTGATTTTGCTATTTGAAGGGTTAAGCCAGTCTAATATATGAAATAACATGCACATTATGATTCATATTGGATGAGCTATCCTATTATGCGGAGATCAGTCACTGATTATTTTATTATGCTCAAACAGTCACCGGTGTCATGGAAAACAATGAAGCAAAGCACGGTCTCGAGATCATCGACAGAGGCTGAATATCGAGCCATGGCATCTACGGCTAGCGAGCTTGTATGGCTGAAGTCTTTATTGACTTCTCTTTTGGTGGTCCATCGTGAACCGATGAAGTTATTTTGTGACAGTCAATCTGCTATCCAACCTAGTTTAATATAGGCAGACCAACCATATTGAAATTGACCGTCACTATATTCGCGAGCAGATTCAAACAAGAAACATTGTTACAGCTCATTTACGTTCTCAATTCCAACTAGAGTATGACATGAACACTTTTAGTATCTACTAAAACTCAGACTATCAAATAATCGTTTCACTTCAACTCTTTGCAAGATTTTAATTTTATCGCATTATCATGCAACACAGACTACCTTGAAGGTATCCTAAACAATATACATGACTCATTAGTCTCATTGTGATCTTGGTGCGTAACATGAGTGCGGGATGGCCTACCATATAGGTATCCTAGAAGACGCCTCACGAGCCTCATCGCACCCTCGCGCGGAACGGACTACTAGACAAAGCATCCAAACCCAACTCAATGGCCTATTCAAATGGAATTTCGACGCACTACCCAACATAGTACTAAGTCGAGCCCATCAACGATATTCATCACATGTATAACTGTATAAATCTGGCATAGCGACGCACTATCTCATATAGTACTGAGCTGAGCCCATTAACGATATCCGACATATGTATAAACTGTACTCATATAGTACTAAGCTGAGCCTATTAATGACATTCGACATATGTATAAACTATATAAGTATGGCATATCGATGCACTAGCATATGTATAAACTATATAAATATGGCATATCGATGCACTATCTTATATAGTACTGAGATAAGCTCATTAACGATATCTGACATATGTTTAAATTACTCCAACTCAAGTGAAATCATTCAACACTTGTCAAATCCCCTTTGAGATACTTATGTGTAACACAACATATTCATGACTATACGTGTAACATCAAGTGGCTCATAACTCCGCGAACGCATCTCAAAATGGCGCAACACAGCTCCACAAAATGAGCAGAAAAACATACAGAACTTCTGTTAGTAAAACAAGAAAATCTTTCTCTAGGAAAATTATTTTTAGAAATGGTTTTCTGTTTTGAAAACTAGATTCACCCTTATTTTAATTGGCACAAGTTTGATTTAGTTTGGTATTTATTTGTTATCTCAAATCTCAAAATAAATATTATACATATGCAACAGTTTTTCTGCAGGATATGTGGGTGGTAAAAAGAACATATCTTTCTCTATACAAACTCTTTTTAATAATAGTTTTCTGTTTTAGAAACTACATACATATAGCTTTCATTTGAAACTAGTTTGGTTAAATTTGGAATTTACTAGCTATCTCAAAATCTCAGTTAAAATTTATATAAGTGCTGTAATTTTCTGTAGAAAATATATACTTAGTACATCTCTTAAATTTCTCATATATAAATGAAATTATGAATAACCCTAATGGTCATGATCATAATACTATCATAAACAGCAAGAAAATATTACTAATCTAGCATTCATTTAAGTTTTAACATTAAAAAATCTAATTTTTTAACATCACAAGTTAAGATTAAACATGAAAACACATATTAAATATCTAAACTAGTTATTTAACTATAAGGATGGGTTTGGATGAAGATAATCTTGCTACAAATATCGTTCTAAGCCTCTAAAATAAACAGCAAGCAATCCACGAGCACAAACAACCCGTTCTCCCTTGTCACTCCTCGAAGATCTCACCCTCGTGTCGGTATTGTGCTTCACAAAGCTCTCAAAATTCATAAGAAAAAGATCTAGAGTTTTTGAGGGGAAATGGTGGCTGCTAGGATTCATATGTATGATAAAAGAGAGGAATTTTTTTGAAAAAAATAGGTATTTATAGAGGCAAACCGAAACAAAGCTATTTGATCTGAACCAGGGAACCTAGTCTGACTAGGAAAATAACCTTCGGTATTTTGACCATAACTTTTATGTCTAACTTTGGAATAAGGTGATATAAAGATTTTTTAGAAATCTATTGAAGATACCTACAACTTTTGTTTTTTACGTTTTTCTAGATTCTAAATAAAATAATTCAAAAAAGGGTTTCTTGATATCGCCTGCTTCGGTACGTAAAATACATATACTTGTAACTGGTCATTTTTTCTAGATTCAGGCTAGTATTTGTGTACATAATATCACTTCTATATTCATATATATATACATTGAATTGATCTTAAATCAATTCCTAGCATACTCAAACATCAATAAATATAATTTTTTCATAATGTAACACATTTATTATTATTTATTACAAAATATTCAAAATTTTAGGGTTTTACAACTAACCTGTATATTGATTTTGCTATTTGAAGGGTTAAGCCAGTCTAATATATGAAATAACATGCACATTATGATTCATATTGGATGAGCTATCCTATTATGCGGAGATCAGTCACTGATTATTTTATTATGCTCAAACAGTCACCGGTGTCATGGAAAACAATGAAGCAAAGCACGGTCTCGAGATCATCGACAGAGGCTGAATATCGAGCCATGGCATCTACGGCTAGCGAGCTTGTATGGCTGAAGTCTTTATTGACTTCTCTTTTGGTGGTCCATCGTGAACCGATGAAGTTATTTTGTGACAGTCAATCTGCTATCCAACCTAGTTTTATATAGGCAGACCAACCATATTGAAATTGACCGTCACTATATTCGCGAGCAGATTCAAACAAGAAACATTGTTACAGCTCATTTACGTTCTCAATTCCAACCAGCGGATACTTTTACAAAGGCGTTAGTGAGGCGACAATTTTAATTTTTACTAGGCAAGTTGGGCATCTACGATATACATGCGCCAACTTGAGGGGGAGTGTTTATTTGTATATATTTGGTTATTCATAATTAGGAGATATCCTGCCAGATTTAGGACTTACCTAATTACCTAGACTTTACCTAATTACCTCCCTGCCAGCCTACCACGTTTAGGACTTACCTAATATCTCCATGCTTGCTTTAGGAATCATTGTTATATATACATGAACGTTTTGTACATAATTCATGTATTAGAAATAAAAAGGAATTCCTTCCAATCTTACATATTTCTTCAGTCTCCCCCATTCACCTATAAATTATCTTCATGCATCCTACTCTCCAAGCATCAGATTTCAGGTTGTGAAAATTTTTTAGTAGAAAGATTATGGAGGCCGCAAAGAAAATGAAGGCAACATTAATCGTCACAATCGTCATCTTCTCGCTATTTGCACCGAGCTCTGCTAGCTTTGGTTCTTGCTATAAAGAATGTTATCTAGATTGCATACATAATAAATCTCCCATACTTGATTGCGCGGCAATTTGTTTGGGGAAGTGTTTCACTCACAAAGAATTCACTGGAAAGGTTTTTTTTCCCCTCATTCTATTAAATGTTTATAGCAGAACTAATCATATCTCTATTCTTTTACTTTATCTTATTTATTATGTATTTTAGTTTTGCATTTGGTTATGAATTTTGATTATTTCTTATTTCCTTTTGTACTCAGACCGCGGAGGGAGAAGATATTCCAAGGGCCACTCAAAGAGTTGTACCTAAAAATTGAATGAGTTTCAAACTTTAATTTGTTGCCAGAGAGCTGAGGAAGGATAAGTTTACGTACAAGCATAATAAAATGTTCCAATTAATGTCATTTAAATTTGAGCAGTTTAGATTGCGATTGTGTCCGCTCCGTTCAGAATTGCCTGTAACGTAATCTTGTATCCTCCATACAAGCATCTCGTATTTTAGACATTTTCAAATGGGTCAGACTTAAGTGACTAACTAATATCAAGGCTTGGGAAGCATTTACGATGATTAATTTGGAGTGTATGTCCTAATATCAAGGCTTGGGAAGCATTTACGATGATTAATTTGGAGTGTATGTCAACAAAATCCCTTTAAAAAATTTTAAGGAGGGGCGCGTGATAATTTTTGAAATCTATGGATTATTGTAGATTATTTGATATTTTTTAGATTATGGATAATTATGAATTGATTGAGATTATCAAATATCTTATTATCATAATTTTCTAATCATGGATAGTTTTAGTCTGATAATAATGCTTAATTAAATATAGGATGGGAGAAACGTGACAATTTTTTATCCATGTGTTAGTCTTTTGTGTAGTTATTATTACAAGTGGTTTACCAATTTCTCATTATTTATGAGGGATAGATCCGTTTAACTCAGACCTTCATTCCTTTACAAGTGGTTTACCAATTTCTCATTATTTATGAGGGATAGATCCGTTTAACTCAGACCTTCATTCCTCCCATCCGCCAAATCTATCAAAACACACAATCAACAAGATTTTATGCGAGCATAATATAGTTTCATTACTCCTCTGACAACTTTAATCATTTCGCACCACGCTCACAAAATATTTGAAACCTCGATAAGTTTGAGAATTTTAGAAATCCAACATTATACTTTAATTTTTCACTTAACTATGAAAAGGAATTATTACCCCACAATTTGTAGTGACAAGCATTATCCCTCAAGGTCAATATGAAAATTACAAACAACCTCTTTTGACAAAAAGCAATGCCAATATCCGGAGAGGAGGCCGGCAATAAGACGAGAGAGGACGGCAAATGATCAGTTAAGATCCAATGGATAAAATTAAGCCGAGTCGAAGAATCGAAGGATATCCCTATAAAAATTCTGATAGCCGAGAGTAGCAGCAGATCAAACACCTGTAGGTGAAAACGAAGCATACCAATTTTTGGGCCATCGATCTCAAAAATGCCCAAGCACCAAATAAGCACGTGCCACAACCAGTACGTAGGCAGGGAAATAGTAAAGCGCCGAGTAACTGTTAGACCCTATAGGGGGTGATTAGGGTCTTTTGTTAATCTAATCCGATTATATGCCAATTAAAATTAATTAACAAGTTATCCTAGCAAGAATGAAATGCAATAAAATATATTAGCTAGGATAAGGCAATATGAACAATGAAATATATATCCTATATAATAAATATATGCAAGGATATATAAACTAGCACAAGATGATATATCCTAATGAAATATATATCCTATATAATAAATATATGCAAGGATATATAAACTAGCACAAGATGATATATCCTACCAAAGAGTTATACAATATGATATATGCAAGGATATGTAAACTAACACAAGGGTAAATAATATGAACTAGATAGTGGATGATAAAAATAATGAGCTATGGACAATGGCGACAAGAAATATAAACATAAGATTAAGTGCGCCAAAGCAAACTCAAACACACGATATGATCACGGAGTTCGGACCTTCCGTCTTACGTCTCCACTCCCCTCTCCCGGGGAGAAATTCACTATCACAATTGGATTTTTTACGCTCACCCGAATAACATTTACACCTCACAATGTCGGTTTTTAACGTTCACCGATCAACGTTCACAATCACTCACAATATCGGTTTTCAACGCTCACCGATCAACGTTCACTCCTCACACTCAAGCACAATTACAACAATTGTTTGTTCTCTAATATGGATGAGAACACAATGAAAGCTCACACTCAATTGTTGTAACTCTCACCAACCCAAATATACTATGTATGAAAATACAATAAGCTCATGTGGGTGTGTGTAAGCAATGAGTGAAATAAAATCAAATCTAAACTCAATATAAAAACTAGCTTTAACGAATGATAATCAAATAACTAAGTAAATATAAAGCTAGATAAGAGTTTAGAAAACTTCTCTATAAACACAAAGGAGAGGATGAAGAAGATTGAGGATGAATCCCTCAATTGACAACATAAGCTTCCTCCTTTGTAAACACAAACCCCAAACTTAAAACAAACTATAAAACCCTCTTAAACTTGTTTAAAACTATCTCATTATATGTGAAATAATAAATACAATGGGGTATATATAGGATAGAAGAAAACAACCTCAAAAACCCAAAAAACAACTAAAAGATAAAAATCAGCAAGTCACCGTTACTGTGCAACGGTAACATTGGCGGTCGACCGTCTCGATCGACCGTGAGAAGAAAAACTCAAAAACTATTCTTTGGACTGCATATGGTTGACCGAAACGGTCAACCACACTGTAGCACGGTCGACCTTGGCGGTCGATCGCACGGTAGCAACGTGCACAAACAATTTCAGGTTTTGACATATTCTGAAAATTTGCGTATCTGATTTTGTAAAATAAATTAAAAATAGTAACTCAACTCCAAAAATCATGAAATTTTGAGAGAAGGTTATAGACATGTATATTAACATGTTAGAGAAATAATTTCCGAAAAATAACTTCCCAGTTGATAGAAATAAATGTTTAAACACAGATAAACAGTTTCTGAAAAAACTGCTGAAAACTCGGTTTTGTAAATTCAATTGAAAATAACAAAACAACTCCAAATTTAGTAAAAATTAAGAAAATATTTGTATATATGAAGATAAACATGTAAATAAAGAAATTTTTCAAATCACATTTCCCAATTGTGAAAACTCATCTGTTTTGTAAAAACATGCACGAACATGAACTTTAAACATGCACGAACAAAACATTGAACTTAAAACATGCATTTTCACATTGCAAAAATTGAGCCTTCCTTAAATTAAATGTGTCACTATGATCCTATTTGAAGTGTCAAATGTCATGAAACTAACAAACAATCGAGATCATCATATATTATAAAATCATAAATTTAAAAAGCCACTCGACATCGGAAGAACTAAAAGAGAGCACTATAAATCCTAGAATAAAAACAGGAAACCAAGATGCCCAAATCATACCCACCTTGCCAAAGTTATTAAGCAAAACATATGTAATCTTTAGGCTTTTATACCCTCGTACCTATATAAATCTCACTGTTTCAATTTAGTAATGGATAACTCCCATGACAGATAAATTAGATAAAGATAAGATAATTTTTACGAAAAAAAGAGAAAGAATTATTATAAAGAAGATACTTTTAATCCTGGACACAAAAATTCATCATAAATAATGATAATTAATATGTCCTTTCCTACAAAATAAGTCATGAGAATGACACGCATATAAATTATTCTCAAGATTTATAATTCATAAGTGTAAAACCTCGTAAAATACAGTGAATGAATTCTTATTGTGAAATATATGTTTATATCATAGATGAATGTGATAACAAGTGTTTGGGGATTAAACAAGTGTATTTTATAAGAGAGAGATTAAGTGTCAAGACCAGCACACACACACAACATGCACAAACAGGAGAAAACCTGCACAGTCAACCGTGGCGGTCGACCGTCGCGTGCGCAGCAATGGCAGGAGGCCTCTGTCTCTTGCGCTGAGAAAAGCCCTAACAGCCTCCTCCCTCCCTCATGCAAACCCTAGCTCTTTCTTTGGGCATTTTTTTGGTGGATTCTAAGGAGTTTGAGCGAGGTCTAGCGATTTCCAGCAAAGGAGAACGTCTTACAACGTTGCTAAGTGTAGTTCGTCACCCCTCAGGCGAGTTTCATCTCGTCCAATCCTATACCCATGTTTCTAATTGTTTCTAATGATGTTTTCATATGATTTGTGAGCCTAACGTGTTATTTTATGTACAAAGATTGATCTATATATAATATGTTGCAAGAAGAACAAGTTTTTAGCTAATAAAGATCACTCACGATTTTTCTTAATACAGATCTGGATCTGAAATTGTTTCTAACTAGAGTTTTGAAAGAAAAATAATTGTTTTCGAAGGTTTCGACACAAATGCGTATGTTTAATTATGTTTTGTTTTGCCTATAGTGACTAATCTATTTCTCACATGTTTCTTGATGTAATATATCATGTGTATAAGGTTGATAGTGGTTATAATCATCACACACAAATTTTTGAATCAAAACCGTCGTGGTAGAACCTGTAGAGGAATTTCAAAACCTGTGCGGTCGACCGTGATGGTTGACCACCGTGCGCACAGCAGAAGCAGTAAGCTTCTTTCTCTTGCGTGGTCGACCGTGGCGGTCGACCGCTGGGCGCGCAGATGAGCAGAACTCTTCTGCTCACTACGCGATCGACCACGGATGTTTGCGGTCAACCGTGAGCCTAATTTTTGTGCATGCCTTGTTGTTCACGTGCGAGTTGTGTGGCTGGCATAATATCTGGGTTACATGGGTTTGATATACACTGAGATTTGTATACATGAGTTAATTACAAACATGAGTTTTAGATTTAATCACCAGAGCATGAGGGTGAATGGTATATATGTGATTTCTGACACCATTTACTTTTTACAGTCCTCGTGTTGGACTATAAGCTATCAAGTCTTTGTGTTGGATTATAAACTATCAAAGTCCTCGTGTTGGTCTATAAGTTATTAAAGTCCTCATGTTGGACTATAAACATCTAAGTCTTCGTATTAGACTATAATCCACTACAGTCCTTGTGTTGGACTTTAAGCTATTGCAGATCATATTTGGAATATTTATTTATTTCAGACCACGAGTTGAGTATATATTTGACATATGACAGGACATTGATATTTCGGTTGGAGATGGAGTTATTACTCCACGTTATAGCTTTTGGATTTGATATGATTTGTGAGCCTAACGTGTTATTTTATGTACAAAGATTGATCTATATATAATATGTTGTAAGAAGAACAAGTTTTTAGCTAATAAAGATCACTCACGATTTTTCTTAATACAGATCTGTATTTGAAATTGTTTC